GCATTCTATCTGACATATTTTCTGGCATTCGATCTGGCATTCTATCTGGCATATCTTCTGGCATTCTACCTGGCATATCTTCTGGCAGATGTTCTGGCATAGCTTCTGGCAGATGTTCTGGCATATCTTCTGGCATATCTTCTGGCAAATGTTCTGGCATATCTTCTGGCATTCCATCTGGCATTCTATCTGGCATATCTTCTGGCATATTATCTAGCAAATCTTCTGGCATTCCATCTGGCATTCTATCTAGCATATCTTCTGGCATATTATCTGGCAAATCTGCTGGCATTCTATCTGGCAAACATTCTGGCACTTTATCTGGCATATCTTCTGGCATTCTAGCTGACATATCTTCTGGCATTCTATCTGGCATATCTTCTGGCATATATTCTGACATATCTTCTGGCATTCTATCTGACATATCTTCTGACATTCTATTTGACATATCTATCTGGCATATCTTCTGGTATATTTTCTGGCATTCTATCTGGCAAATCTTCTGGCATTCTATCTGGCATTCTATCTGGCATATCTTCTGGCATATTATCTGGCATTCTATCTGGCATATCTTCTGGCATATCTTCTGGCATATCTTCTGACATTCTTTCTGACATTCTTTCTAACTTTCTTCTGCACATTTTTTGTCCCATATCTTCCTACATGAGGTCCGGCAGGGAACACTTGGCGTGGATACTCGCGGTTGAGGTCCGGCAGGGAACACTGGGCGTGGATGGTCGTGGTTGAGGTCCGGCAGGGAACACCGGGCGAGGATGGTCGTGGTTGAGGTCCGGCAGGGAACATTGGGCGTGGATGGTCGTGGTTGAGGTCCGGCAGGGAACACTGGGCGTGGATGGTCGTGGTTGAGGTCCGGCAGAGAACACTGTGGATCGCAGGTCGCAGTTGAGCAAGGACGACGAGGACGACGAGGACGACGAGGAGGACGAGGAGGACGAGGAGGAGGAGGAGAGGAGGACAAGGCAGGAGGAGGCGGAGGAGGAGGAGGAGAAGGAGGAGGAGAAGGAGGAGAAGGAGGAGGAGGAGGAGGCAACTGACATAAAATCTAACAACCCTCACCTGGCAGGTGGGGAAAACAACATCATCATGGACCCCGCTTTAAGGATCTTTAAGGCGCGGAGGAATGAGAAGTGGAACACCCCAAGTCTTCCGGGTCCGCCTTTTGGTGACTGCTTCGACCGCTTCCCGTAGAATCGATCCCTGCGCTGAGCTGCGCTGGGTGCAGAGCGACTTTGCACTCTGCAGATTCTGTGAGCCGAAAATGGCAGCGATGCAGCGATGCTCGAAGCTCGGCGTTCGCGACCACTGAGGTTACACAAAAAAAAACGGTTTCTGATGATTGGCTTAGTCGGGTTGGTACATGTTGGTACACTTTCCTGGAAGCATCTGGGGTGGACCTACTTGTGCTATCTTGTGCTGGGAACAATCTCACCATATCTCACCACTGCAACAACACAGCGAACACAAACCATGACTGAGCCATGCACACAGCAACGACCAGCAGCTCACAGAGCCTGAGACTTCGTGACTTGGATGACTTGGATGACTTGGATGACTTGGATCCCAGGAATCACCAGCTGGGTAATCAAAATCTTGGAAACATTTGGAAACCAGAGTAACCGTTTAACCAACCGTTTAACCGTTTAACCATGTTTAACCAGAACTACAGAAGTTGAAAAGTTCGAGGTTTATCCCGTCGCATCCGTCGCATCTCAGGTTGGACGACCCCATCGAACTCGCGAAATCACTCGGCACATGAGTCATGAACTACCTCATGTAGGTCTTCAATGGTTAGTGACGGTTAGTGAATCATGATGTTTCTTCATATGCTCTTGAGACATCCATGGAATATCATGGAATCATGTTCCACGAATTGGGTGCCCTGCGTGCTGCTGAGTGGTGCCGCGTAGTGGACAAAGAAGGCTGCCTCACCAGGGGGCTTTGGTGAAACCATGGTGAAACCATGGTGAAACCATGGTGAAACCAGTGAAACGTCTTCAAACTTCGTTTCTCTACATGAAATCAGACATGGAATCATTCAATCCAAGTAAATCCCATTCTCCAATTCTCCAAAGGGAACGCTTTTGAACATGGTGTATATTTGAAATATTTGTAGATTGTTCATGTCAGCCTTCAAGCGAACCGCACCATCTGACGAAGCCATGAGAGTGGCGCCAATCCAAGGCCAACTGGGCCCACCACCGTTGCAAAGCAGAAGACAAAGACAAACCACCTGGGACAATTCTGAGACAATTCGATGCACCGATGCACCGAACAACAAAGCTGGTTTCTCAAAGCAAAAGGTGCACCAATGTTTGAAGACTGGGTGCGAATCTCCCACTCCTTTTGAGAAAAGGAAACCATGCGTCCATACCCATAGACTCCATAGACATGAAAGTCTGAAGACATTGTGACCATTGGCCATCAAACAAGAGTGTTTCTCTACGGCTGCGGATTTGTGCGTTGCTCACTTGAAGGATTCAACTTGTGTCGTGTGAACAAGCTGGCACTGCATCATGACAGTGGTTCCTACACCCTCAGCTGGCACTCCAGTCCTAGGAACGCTTGGACCCAGCTGAGCGCCCCAAACGGAAGCAACCAGGCAAGCAGCAGTGGTACGCCTGTCGAGCTTTCCATCCACAAAACAAGCTGCCAAAAGGGGTGAAAATGAAGGTAATGATCAGTTGAGGTCGATGATCTTTATCAAATTTTATCATTATGAAATATCATGAAATATCATGAAATATCCATGAAATATCCTCCCATCCCACAAGTTCTTTTTGTTCATTCTCCACCTTGAGGATCATGGTTTCTTGTGGTGTCAGGCATCCAGGAGTCCAGGAGTCCAGGGCGCGTTGAGCGCGGGACAATTTACGCGACGCCGGCGCTTCGACGTGACGAGCCTGGCTCAAAGGACGCAAGCAATGCAGCAGTTGTTCCGAAATTCCTATGGTCTTTGTAGCTGATGCTTATTTGTAGTCATCAATGATTATCAATAACTTATTCATGAATATTCATGAGTTATTAGAAGTTATCAGTAATTGCTGAAAAATAATGGTTGTGAGTGTTTTTCAATAATTATTAATGGCTATTAATGGTTTTAATGGCTGATGCTAAAATTATAAAAGTCAGGCTCATGTTCCAAGGAGCAGGTGAAACGAAACACACTGTGACAAGATTAACAAGCAATGGCATCAAGATTGGTCAAAATATGTTCCTTTTATGTTTGAAGAATTTAAAGTCACATAGACTTGTACATACGACATTTGCATACACTACATGTAGGCCATGTAGGTGACCTGTAGGTGTATATTTTTTGCATATCGACGGCCGCCATACGATGCTTAGCCGCTTAGCCGCTTCAGGGTGACCGGTTTTTCACGTGGTCCCAGGGCACTTGGCGGCTTCGGCATCGACGGCATCGCCCAAGGATCCGTAGTGTGCACCTGATGCCGATGTCATCCGATGTCTCATGGTCGACTGCCATATGACTTAGAAAGAACATGACTTAGAATACTTAGATTGATGTTCCAACCTTTCGATTTTTGAGTCTCCTCTTTCAATCGGAAACGCCATCTGATCCACTATATCCACTGCATTCTAAGTCCCTTGTGTGTTATGGCCACTTTATGGCCACTTTATGGCCACTTTATGGTAGCCTTCTTCGATCTCTCAACCTGGACTTGGCCGCCACGCCCACACCGCTGCCCTCAGTCTAATGTCTAAGACCATCACTACCCGGTCACGTGATGGAAAATGTATGTTCTTTGAACAACTTCCCATTCAGAATTGGGGATTTTTGCTACAAAAGGATATAAAAACCAACGGCAAAACAAATAACTCAGATTCTTCACTCCAGATCTCCGCTGTGCCGCAGCGGATAGATACATGTGCTTGTTGAGGCTCAGCTTCCCATTGGAATTGTCCATTGCGAGCTGAGCAAAGTTCATTCTCATGAAAGTATCAAAGCAAGATTTTGGTTTGGTATGGTCAAAATATGTTAAAAATTGGGTATTTCCAAGGCAAAAAAAGGAAGCGAAGAACCACAAGAATCACAATCTGCACCGAGCCACAGCGAGGATTTCCCCAGGCCTTGGTGTGGAGCCAAATTGACCCTTCACGGAATTGCCACCAAGGGGTAGTAACTTATCCATTGGGGATACTATCCATATCTATCCATTGGGCTTCACCGATTGGTGTTTTTTTGGGCTGAGTTCTGGAATCGTCCACCACTTGAAGTACAATGTTGTCGACCCCAAATCTTTAAAATCGGGCGCGCGTTTGAAAACTTAAGATATGACGTGACAATAATAATAATAGTAATAATAATAATATGTGATATTAATGACAACATTAATGACAATATTCATGACAATTATTCCGTGCGGGATTTTGCTGACAATACTGTGTTCCTGTACCAGCTACAAGGTCTCATGGCACCCAACTCCTCCTCTCCATGGCAGGTCGCTTGCAATGTTCGTAAGCGGGCCAGGACTAGCGTATGTGATAAAGCCAATCAGAAACTTACAGTTATCCAATCTACTAGAAACCATACTCCAAAATGGGATTTGATGTTTTGGCAAAATTGTTCTCCACTGGAAAAAGCACCCCATCCCAATCTCCACATCTTGGAGGCCAGGCATGGCAGCCTGCATTTGGGCCGACCCACCGGCCGACCTACCGGGAACCCGGTATGGAGCCCAAAGTCACCAAATCCGCTCAGAAACAAAGGCTTTGGAACCCACTATCGTGTCTTGAGAAGAAAGCCAGTTGAGTGCCAGTTGAGGCATTTGGGACAATATGTCAATATTGAGTCAATACACTTCAACATGACTGTGAGAGCAACCATTTGCACCATTTTGGTCACTATACACTCAGCTCACCTGGAGAAAGGACGCAAAGTGTTTCAAATGTTTGTCTGCCGGGTCCTAATTTTGATAAATGCCCAGTTGCATCCTTCCCAGGGACTTGTCAGCTATACATCACTTGTCTTTTGCAAGGACTGCCTCCCCCAAACGGGGCCAGCATCGTGCCATCTGGTCCACAAGCCCCAGGCAAACAGACACCACAACAAACGGTGGAGCCTGGTCAACAGACCTCCGATCTGCCAGGACAAATCCAAAAGTTTCGACGAACGCGTCACCAAGAAGCTCATGGAGGAATCAGACCCCAATGATGGGAGAACCATCCAGAACCAATACCAATAATTATTATATCATATTATATAATCTAATATTATTAGTGCAAGACCATAATATAATAATTATATAATACCAATAAGAGCCATTTCTCTTGAAAATCCAAACTTCTCCATGAGAGCCATTGGATGATGGCGTCCGATAGCCGACTCTGGGCATCCAAAACCGGGACCGTTTTGGCTCACTGCTCCACTGGTCCTGTGCCACAGATATCACATTTTTGGGGAAGGTCGGAGGGGTCCGAGGATCCACAACTTTGATATCAAAATTATTCAAAATTCATGGTCTGTAGGGAAAGGATCTTGGGATCTTGGACCCATTGAAATCCATGGCCACCTGCCGCATAACCATCTGCCTCCCCCCTGTCTCCTGCCGACTACCTCACCTTGGCACCAGCATGGCTAGTGAAAGATACGAGAAATTCAGTTCTGAAGTGTGTTCGGATCCCTGCGCTCCTCCCAACTTTTGGATTGCCAGCTTCATTTGAATCATGTTTCCGTATTTTCCAATTACTTGGCCCCATCATGTACCATCCAAATCAACAAATACCAAAAGTCATGTCTTTAAAAAAAGGCTTTGTTGATGACTACAATCATCACATATCATTTCTACAATCACTACGATTTCCTGATAAACATCCCCCATCCAGGGAACTAGTGCCAAACTCAACCATCGTGGGTGAAAGCACTGGGAGCTCCAGCAACTTGGAACGTCCCTGCTGTAGCTGGCTGATCACTTGTGGGTCCAAGGGCTCGTAGCGTTTGGACTCGGGGTGCAAAATGTAGACGGGATCTGGCACCTGTGAGACGATGCTGACTTCATGGTGACTCAATGGTGACTTAGTCATGACTTAGCAATGTGATTAGGATGATGCCGTAATGGTGACTTAATGGCGACTGAACGCCGACTCAGTGATGACTTAGATGCTACGAGATGTTCCTGAAAAAAGTGGATGAAACCAAGAGACTAGCGCAACGGTTAGTGTGTGACCAATGGATTGATGCATCAAAGGCCCGAAACTTTTCAAAATTTGAGGCCAGTTTCAAATTTCCGATTGGCAGTGGTGAGCTATTCTAGTGACCCCCTGACTCCACAAATGGATGTCGGTCTTTGAAAATTCGAATCAAGTACCTGACGTTGATATGTCAAGTCATTATTATTACTTTGAAAACTCTAGACATGTATAATTTCACATGGTAAGAAGTGTGACCCATGTTTCATGAAGTCAACCTACATAAGTGGTACTGTACAATTGCGGCGTGCTAGTGAGGGTGGAATGATATGGTTCTGCCAGGGCAAACTTGTTTGTAGAGCCCATGGAAAAGATCTGGCAGAATTTTATACGCCCTCTTCAGCATTCTACGTTGGAATCAAGTGTCCGCCCTGAATCTCACCCTGAAAATTGCCGTGAAATGTATGGAATATGGAAATGCTCGAAGTTATCATATACAAGTTCCATCTTACCAAATTGTTCGACGTCCAAAATCAAAGAAAAAATAAACCCAAAAAGTATCCCCAACAGCCAGAAACAAAAACACTTGACCAACACGCAATAAAAATATGTTTATTGCCCAGCCCTTCTTACTCTAGAGGCCAGGCGTGCAAGGCGCAATCACAGCACAAACACGTTATGAAAACAGTTTTTCCAAAAGCGTTTGCAATACTGTGGCAGCTGAAGGGTCAATATTCCCGAAGTTCGTGCGAATGGTTTTTTCCCAAAGAACTGTTGCCCGCCTCACTCTTCACTTCATCTACCCAACATACATCATCCACATCTCCTACGTCCTTTACATCACTTACATCTTCTACACCATCTTCTCTACATCTACATCACCACCACTACCACCACCACCAGCATCATCATCATCATCATCATCATCGACATCATCATCATCACCACCAGCATCATCACCAATCATCATCATCATCTACATCATCTACATCATCATCACCAATCATCATCATCATCTACATCATCTACATCATCTACATCATCTACATCATCTACGTCATCTACATCATCTACATCATCTACATCATCTACATCATCTACATCATCTACATCATCTACATCTATCTCACCTACATTATCTATACCGGCTACACATTTTCCATCAACCTCATCTATATGACATACCTTATCTACAACACATACATTACCTACATCATCATCTACATCGCTAGATCCTCTACATCACCTACATTTTCTAATCGATCTAACCTTACATCACTTACAACTTCATCCTCATCATCTATAACATAGACAACTTCTCCTACATCAGCTACAGGTGATCAATTTCTGGGTAACTCCTACAAAACTTTAACAATGTCATTTACACAGGAGTTGACTTGCAGGTGATCGATCCACTTCTAATTGAACTCCTACAAAACTCCTGCAAGGTCATTTGCACAGAAATTGTTACACAGGAATTGCTACACAAGAGTTCAGCTAACTTCCAGGTGATCAAATTCTATCTGAACTCCCGCAAAATCAGACTTCTCCAGTTCTTCTATTTCTCTCTGCGGCACGAACAGCGGCGGCTTACAAAATGTTGCCCCTGTCGGACACCCAAACATGTGGTGAAATGCGGGTCTTGTTTGTCCTTGGGCAACCCTCTGCGGAGATCGCGCGTGTCGGATGGGCAAAGATGTGGAGTGGTGAAATGCGAATCTTCTTTGCCCGCAGCAACCGTCTGCGGAGATCGTGCGTGTCGGACGCCCGAACATGTGGTAGAATGTGGAATTTCTTTTGGGTACGGGCAACCCTCTGCAGAGATCGCCCAGGTCGGACGTCCAAGCATGTGGCAAAATGTCAATTTGGTGAGGCCCGGCGCAACCCCATCGCATGAAAGTCAAACGGCAATAATTGTGGGAAAATTGCGGTTGTTTAACGTCAGATGCAAACGTTCAAGAATTGGTGACTTTATCCATTTTGAACCGTCAGGCACAACCGGTTCGCGCGAAATCAAACTTGTGTAAAATTGTGATTTTACAAGGTCAGGCCCGACCCTTTCACGCAAAATGATTGCCCAACGTCAAAAATTGTGATTTTCCAACGCGATATGCAACCCTTTCGCACAAAATGACGGCCGAACGTCAAAAACTTAAGTAAAACTGCAATCTTGAAGCGTGTCAAAGCTGCTCTCTGGAAATGGTTTCTCTGTGGGAAAGCGTCTATGTGTAAAGGCTTCTGTGTAAAAGCTTCTGTGTGTAAAAGCCTTCGTGTGTACAAGCTTCCGAGGGTAAAGGCGTCTGTGTAGAAGCTCCTGTGCGTAAAAAGCTTCTCTGTGTAAAAGCTTCTGTGGAAAAGCTTCTGTGCGTAAAAGCTTCTGTGTGAAAATCATTCTCTGTGTAAAGGCTTCTCTGTGTCAAAGCTTCTGTGATTCTCTGAAAAAAACTGTGTGTAAAAGCTTCTGTGTGCAAAGGCGTGTATATGTCAAGGCGTCTCTGCGTAAATGCTTGCGTGTGTAAAGGCATCTGTGTTCAAAAGCTGCTGTGTGTAGACGCATCTGCCGCCTCTGTGTGAAGAACTTTTGTGTAAATGTCTCTGTGACTAAAGACTCCTCTGTGTACAAGCTTGGGCATCTGCGTGTTAAAGTTTCTGTGCGCATAAGATTGTATAAGCTGCTCTGTGCAAAGGCCTCCCTCTATGAAAAAGCCTCGGTGTGTAAAAGCTGCTCTGTGTGAACCCTGCTCTGTGAACAAGCTTCTATGCGTAAAAGCGTCTGTGTGTAAAAGCTCTGTGTGTAAAGGCGTGTGTGTGTGTAAAGCTTTTGTGTGTAAATGCTTCTGTGTATAAAAGATGCTCTGTGTAGAGGCTTCTCTGTGTAAAAGCTTCCCTGTGTAAAGCTTCTGTGTACAAACTTCTGTGTGTAAAAGCTTCTGTGTGTAAAGGCCTCTATGCGTAAAAGCGTTTGTGTATAAAAGCTTCTTTGTGCAAAGGCGTCTGTGTGCAAAAGCTGCTCTGTGTAAAAGTTGCTCTGTGTGACGGCTTCTGTGTGTAAAAGCGTCTGTGTGTAAAAGCTCTGTGTGTAAAGGCGTGTGGGTAAAGCTTTTGTGTGTAAATGCTTCTGTGTATAAAAGATGCCCTGTGTACAAGCATTTGTGTGTGTGTGTGCAAAGGCGTCTGTGTGCAAAAGCTTCTGTGTAAAAGCTTGCTCTGCGTAAAGGCCTCTCTGCGTCAAAGCTTCAGTCTGCAAAAGCTGCTCCGCGTAAACGCTGCTCTGTGAAAAGAGACCTGTGTGTAAAAGCTGGTCCGCGCAAAGGCTTCTCTGTGTGAAAGCTGCTGTGTGTAAAAGCGTTTGTGCGCAAAGGTCCTTCCCGCAAACGCTTGTCTGCGAAAAAGCTTCTGCATGTAAAAGCTTCCGTCTGTGTAGAAGCTTCTGTGTGTAAAGACTTCTCTGTGCAAAAGCTTCTCTGTGTAAAAGCTTCTGTGTGTAAAAGCTGCTCTGTTTCAAGGCTTGTCTGAGTAAAAACTTCAGTGTGTAAAAGCTTCTGTTTGTAAAGGCATCTCCGTGCAAAAGCTTCTCTGTAAAAGCTTCCTTGTGAAAAGGCTGTTAAAGTTTCTGTGTCTAAAAGCTTCTTTGTGTAAGGGCGTGTGTGTGCAAAAGCTCCTGTGTGTAAAAGCTTGGGCATCTGCACATTGAAGTTCCTGTGGGTAAAATCTTCTTTGTGAAAAAGCGTCTGTGTGTAAAGCTGCCCTGTGTAAAGGCTTCGTGTGGTAAGGCTTCTTCAGAAAAGGCTTTTCTGTGTAAAAGCTTCTGTATGTAAAAGCGTCTGTGTGCAAAAGCGTCTGTGTAAATCTGCTCTGTGTAAAGGCCTCTCAGTGTAAAGGCTTATGTGTGTAAAACCTTCTCTGTGTAATTTTGTCGCTGTGTGAAAAAACATGTCTTTTGATTCTGACTGCCGCTCAGGTGCCAGCCCTGAAGCAGACCCTCTGCGGGGACAAAACAGGCATGAAACCGTGGATATATGACATTTGACCCGCGTTAGCTATCATTCATCATCATCTACGTCGTCATTGCCCATCGTCATCGCCATCATCATTGTTGTCATAATCATCGTCACCGTCATCATCATCATCATCATCATCATCATCATCATCATCGTCATCGTCATCACCATCACCATCACCATCATCATTTTTCTTGTGTATTATTTGTCGTCTCCTCCCTCCTGCTTTCTTTCAGGCCACGCTGTCGTCTAGTGTTTTTATCCATGTGCGAATCATGTTTTGAAGCAAAACTAGTTCTTCAATCTCTCCGTTCCGTTATTAGAACCATTCTTCAAACTTTGCAGTATTCTGTTGTTCACTGTTCTTGGAACCTTGCCTGGGCAACTGTTCTTGGAAACGTTGCTTGACACTTGTTCATCGGAACCTTGCTTGGGAACCTGTTCTTGGGAGCCTATTCTTAGGAACCTGCTCTTGGGAGCATTGCCTGGTAACCTGTTCTTGGGAACTTTCTCTTGGGAACCTGTTCTTGAAAACTTTGCCTGCTTGCTTCACACCTGTTCATTGGGACCTTGCTCGGGAACCTGTTTTTCGTAACTTTGCTTGGGAGCCTTGTTTAGGAACCTGTCCTTCGGAACCTTGCGTGCAGCTGTTCTTCGAAATTTTGCTTTGCAAGTTGTTCTTGGGAAGCTGTTCCTGGGAACATGAGCAACCTGTTCTTGGGAACCTTGCTTGGGAATCTGTTCGTTGAACCTTTCTTGCAACCTTGCTTTGGAACCTTTCTTGACAGCCTTGCCTGTCAACCTATTATTCGAAACCTTGCTGGCGAAACTGTGATTGAAAGCCTTGCTGAGGAACCTTGCTTTGAAACCATGCTTGGGAACGTGTTCGTGGGATCCGTGCTGGCAACCTATTGTTCGGACCCTTCCTAGAGAATTTGTTCTTGGAACCTGAACCTGTTCTTGAGAACCTGTTCTTGGGAACCTGTTCTTCGAACCCTTGCTTGGGAACCTGTTCTTGCGAAGCTTGCTTGCAACCTGTCCTTGGGAACCTTGCTTGGGGCCTTTTCGTGGAAACCTTCCTTGGGAACCTGTTCTCAAGGACCTTGCTTGGTAACCTTGCTACCTTGCATGGAAACCTGTTCTTGGAACCCTTGCTTTGGAACTTGAGGCACTGTTCTTGGAGCCCTTGCTTGTGAACCTGTTTTTGCGAACCTTGCTTGGGAATCTGGTCTTGCGAACCTTGCTTGGAAACCTGTTCCCAGGAATCTTGCCTGGAACCCCCTTGCTTGCGAACCTAGTCTTGGAAACCTTTTTTGCAACCTTTTCTTGGAAACCTCTTCCTAAAAACCTTGCTTGGACCCTGTTCCTGGGAACCTTGCTTTCTTGGGTACCTTGCTTGGCAACTGTTCCTGGAACCCTTGCTTGGGAATCTTGCCTGGGAACCTGTTCTTGGGAACCTTGCTTGGGAAAAGTTTCTGGCAACCTTGCTTGCGAACCTGTTCCTGGAACCTTGCTTGGGAACCTTGCTTCGGAACGTCCTTGGGAATCTTGCTTGTGAACCTGTTCTTGAGAACCTGTTCTTGGGATGGCTGAAGACCCCAAGCTTACACTGTTGGGGAGAAAAAAGAACAGCCTATGCAATTTCCCATATTTTCAGACGTGGAAAATCCCATGGATTCCCCGTTTCGAATAAACGGACCTTGGCAGGATCAAAGCCCTGGTCCCTCAGCTGCACCTGGCGCAGATCGAAGCTGACGATCGAAATGGTGATCTTAATGGCTATGATTTGCAAATACTTATGACCACTATGATGTTAATGGTTCTGAATCACCATTGATGACATTATCAATATGATAATTATGGTTAATTGGTTCTAAATGGTTGTCAATGGATATTGACGGTTGTTACTGCTGGTTCGTTGGTATTAATGATGTCTTGTTATTAAATCCGCCCACACCGCTTTGGCGGTGAAGGCGTGCTTATTGGGGGGCAACAGCAACACTAAATGCTCAATGACATTTGTTAATATAGCAGTCGCTATATCAGCTTTAGCTGGGGGGGGCCCAAAAACGGTCTCGCACCGAGACCAGAATACGGTGGTGTTTTCGACATTTTTCGAGGATTTTTGGGTGTCTGAGCGCAAGAGGGTATTGAAATGGAATTTTGGGTCATTTTGGTAGCTTTCCGGCAATGGAAAAACGGCCAAAAATGAAAAAAAACATTGTACATAGCAAGATTTTGCAGGGTTTTTGGATGCCAGAGCATTGAAAACACTGCAAAAACAAGTGTTTTGGACTGACGTTATAGCAAAAAACGTGTAAATTACCGTATGCTTGACTGGAAACATTACAAAAACACTGTCAAAAGCAATGTTTTGGAAGGATTTACTGCCTTTATGGCAAAAAACGTGTAAATTACCGTCTGTTTGACTGGAAACATTGGAAAAACACTGTCAAAAACAATGTTTTGGAAGGATTTCTTTAAAAAAAATATATGTTGGAGTTGGCTACCGGCATTGGCACATGGAAAAATTGAAGAAAACACTGTAAATAGCGGTATTTTCAACGGTTGGGGGGATAAGGGAATTGGAAGCATTGTCGAACATGATGTTTTCGACCGGTTTTATGGCGACAAAAGTGTAAAGTACCGTGCTTTGAAGGAAACCATTGCAAAAACATGGAAACACATTCAAAGAACACGGGATTTGGGGGACTATCTAGGCGTCGTCGTCTAGCTATTTGAAATTCCGCAGCTTGGAGAGCCTCCAAGGGAGGGAAAAGTGAAAATTCCCTAGCTTGGGAAGCTGTCAAGGCGGGGAAAAGTGAAAAGTCCCTAGCTTGGGAAGCCCCCACGGGGGGGAAAAGTGAAAATTCCCTAGCTTGGGGAGCCCCCACAGGGGGGAAAAAGTGAAAATTCCCTAGCTTGGGGAGCCCTCACGGGGGGGGAAAGTGAAAATTCCCTAGGTTGGGGGGCCCCCACGGGGTGGGAAAGTGAAAATTCCCTAGCTTGGGGAGCCCCCACGGGGGGGAAAAGTGAAAATTCCCTAGCTTGGGGAGCCCCCACGGGGGGGGAAAGTGAAAATTCTTAGCTTGGGGAGCCCCCACGGGGGAAAAACCACCCTTAGCCCCTCTCACGGACCGAAATAAACCTGCGGTGTGGGCGGCCACCCCACGCGAAGCGGGGTGAATAGGACTTTAATGGTTATGAATCAGTTATGAATGGGACTAACACTTACGGTTTAAATCAATTCACTGGGATTCATCTTTGAAATCAAGTTCCCTGACAACATTTTACGGGACACGTTTTTTTGGTGGTCATGATCTTTTGAGTGAGAGTCCAGTAGTCCACCTGTCGAAAATCCACCCAGTTGCCTTTTGATGTTTGAAGGTGCCGGTGATGTCCATATCGGACAAGAAACGCAAAAACCGAGGACGCGCGTAGCTCGGAAGCTCCTGAAGGCAGGGCGATCCTGCAGATCGCCATTGGCCGCACAAATCCCCGGAGTCCCTTGAAGTTGATTTCGTTTATTTACCTACAGGAACTGGAGATGAGACACGTGCTGAACTGTTGGAAAATTGTCTTTTTCAAAAAGTTCAGGGCTGTAAAGGTAGGGATGTCGTGATAGGTGTAAACAGGAGTATCCGTATTGTCCCCCATGTGTATCATGGCAATATTGTATTTTTCCCACTATAGTCCAATTTTGTTGTTGTACCCATGTATCTCATGTATCTCCTATAGTACATCTCACGACGGTTACTTTATGTTAAATCCCCTTTCATAATGGAATATGATCGGGGCAAGGGGATAGCAGGGGGTAATGTGTCAGCTGGATTGCCATCTCCCAACAGCTGAGTCCTTCTCGCAAAGGCTCTGCAAAGCATCAAGTTTTTCACGTGATTGCAAGTCCTGCAGCGCGGTTCATGGGCGACCAAGGAACAACCTCGCCGGGCCTCGCACGGCTATAGCATTCCCATGAAAATATGATCGGTGATCGAAGGAAGTTTAGAAGTTAAACTTACGACTTGCGGATAGATGCAGCAACTGTTTTGAGAACAGTCAGAGAAGAGAAAGGGAAGAGACAGTCAGTAGAAAGAGGATTAGAGGAGAGAAAGGTCGCATTCAGGGCTTGTCCCAAGACAAATTCTTCACCAAAAAGTTGTGTTTGTGATCACTTGTCGTGGCCTTGTAGCCGTTTGATGATATGTATCTGGATGAATCTGGTGGTATCATCAGGTATAATCATGAATATCATATATGTATATCTATATATAGATATACATATATACAGTTATACAGTACATAAATATGCAACCATCTAGAATACAACCATGTTACAGTAACCATGTTATCACGTTACCAGGGCATCACTGAAACGATCTAAAAAATCGCGACGCGTCCTGTCCCCGCAGGGCCACCATGCACGCACGTCCATCCGCCTCGCCTGGCACCTGGCGACCATGGATATTAATGAAACATGGCTTATGGATGCTGCAAACAAAACATCCTATCTGTATATATATATATATATGTGTGTGTGACTTCATCTGTAGATTCCTTTTTGATGACTCTGGAGGTGATCTTCACAGGCCCATGGATTTTCTTTTGGATATATTGGATAAAATGGGGGATGGGGCACAACCAATTCGTTTCCAGGAGATCTGAGTTTGGTGCGCCCCAGTCCTGGATTCAAATGCGCCAGTTATTTCCCCAATGCATCCCAAGTACAAGCCCACTGTCTAGCATGGCTTGATTGATGTCAACCCAGTTCTATACTTTAGCTATGACTAACATTGACTAACACTATACTTGCCACTTTCTTCAATCACAGCGACACCAAAAAGGAAGAAAATCACAGTAATTGACCACCATTTAGTAGGAATTCACTTTTTTTACCTTTTTGCAGGTTGCTGTGCAGCCATCATCCCTGGGATCCACTTATCCCTGCCTGGACGCCATAGACGTTGGCTTCCTCGACCCCAGGCAGGCTGGACAGCACTTGCGAGACCTCCATGGTGGAGACGTTCCTCGGTGCAGTTGAAATGGAATCCGTTGGAATGGCTCTATATCAGCTGTATCCATAGTAAAATCATGAAAACATGTATTATATATATAGATATTCTGTATATATATATATGTAGATATTATATATATATACATATAAATATGTATATTTTCTATACATATGTAGATATTCTATATATATGTCGATATTCTTTATATATGTAGATATTCTATATATTATATATATATATATATTCTATCTATATATATATATATAGATATTCTATATATTCTATGAATGTGTAGACATTCTATATATATATATATGTAGATATTATATATATATGTAGATATTATATATATATATGTAGATATTATATGTATATGTAGATATTGTATATATATATGTAGATATGATAATATATATATAGTGTAAAATTATATATAATTATATATATTATATAACAATATATATATAGTGTAATCTTATATATATATACATATTTTTTACATACGTATATATTACATTATATTTATATAATCATCTGCCAAAGCCATTTTTCCGGGGATTCCATTTTAAATTTGATGAGTTTGGATTTGGAGCAGCCATGACAAAAAAAAAACATGGCGATTCGGCAGCCAAGAAACTCGCCCTTCCACCTGCCAGCAATGATGCTGATTTAGATATAGGCATGCATCTGCTTTATTGGGGTGTGCTGCCCAACTCAACAGAGAGTTTCTAGTCAAGTTGTTGTCATTTGGAAAGGTCATAAAATGATACATCTGTCATATTTGTGTTTGTGAAATCTGAAAGTTTTGGGAATTTCTTCCCACGACAGCTTGCAACGCAGCAGCTTGTGACCTGAAGGTATCTCCGATCCGGTCCACGAAATGCCAGAGGCCCTTGGCATCCTGGAACCAGCCCGGTGGAATGGCCGAAACTTAGGTATAAGACTTGAGGATGTTTCGGAAAAGATGGAGTTTGTACCTAGAAGATGGAAAAGGGAAAGTCTTTCGAAGCCACTGCGAAAACATGTCCATCTGTTTGGAACCACTCTGGGCAGAATGTTCCCAAACTGCTGATTGCGATACAGCTGTGAAAAGATGACAACCTGACCAGAATCTCAGAGTTTCACTCCAAAACGATTGCCCAAAAACCTAAGAAACTGGCTGTTGGCTGTTGAAGAGACTGGCTATTTAAGGCCGATTTCCAGTGTATGGGTCAGTTTGAACCCGGTGGTCATACTAGAGCCTTCAGCTGGAACGCCGTTGGTTTAGGCTGAACAGATCTTGAGAAATGCATCCCGCGATCCATCCACAGAAGCATGTTTGAATTTACCATCTGCCCCGGTCTGCCCCATGCAAAATTGGCGGCCAGGCCTTGTACAAAAGGTCTCCAGATCTGAACCAGGAATCCCCCTTCTTGAAGACATCCCGAAGGACCTGCACTGGGAATCAAAGCATCTTGGAATCTTGGCCTCAGATTTATATAGATTTATTGGAACATCTGGCGTTGACTCCTTTGCCTCGTCTGTAAAGTCTGTAAAGCCTGTATTGAGTTGTGTTAGGCACCGAATGAGGTGTCTCGGGTCGTTTGGGGCAGGTCCGGAGAGAAACATCGATCACTGCAAGGTTGACCTTGAGGTGAGGAGGAAGACTACAGAATTTGACCGTCTGTAAAATCCTTATCCTTCCCTGGAGGGCTCCTGGTATCAAATATGACTCAAATTTGGTGTGCAGAAGGTCAGAAGGAGCCCGCTGCCAGTGTCACTCTTTGAAGCTAACCAGAAATCGAGCGAATCACTGTACAACTACGACGCTGGCAGTTGACATGAGTCAACCGGCAAAAACAGCGACAGTTGCGGTCAGAAACCGACCCCGAACCAGGAGCGCCTTTGGCTTTGTTAATTCTGCATTTCTGCATGTAATGCCACAGTCATTCGACTTCTATGTATCGGGAGGTCATCTGGAAGAGGATGGGACAATGGATCATGGAGAACTGTGTGAAACTCTGGTTGCTCATATCATGTACCGCTTGTCCAAAACATATCAAACAATTGGAATCCCCACAACTGTTACCACCAAACAGTACCCATGGTGAATGATCCCACCTGCATTTGTATCGGGTACATTTGATATGTCAATATATGTCACGGATGGATTTGATAACGCAGCCTGGTCAAATCCAAACATGAGAATTGGTCATTGATCTGCCCTGTTTTTTTAGAGCCTCTGGTCGTTTCCGGTCGCTATCCCAGCCCCGACCGCGACCCGGGTGAGCCGCCCACCGGTTGAGACGCCCACTGGGAGCTTGGATGCCCCCTGCAGACGGCCCCCGTTCCAGGCATGTCCGGTCATGGTGCCGACACAAAACTGCAAAATGTTGTCAGATGTTGTCAGATGTTGTCAGGTCTCAATCGAAGAGGATGTCTCCATCTTTGAAAAATAGGCGTTGAAACGATGCTAAATATGTTAAACATTTGTTAAACTATGTTTAAACAATAGCACTTCAACGTATCTTGGATGGATTGTGACAAGGACCAAACCGTGAGCCATCAGAGAAAATTGTTTCCCGCACCTGCAAGGCACACGTTGTGAGGTGATAAGTCATAAATTTTAATAAATGTAGTAATCAGTTGGAATATGTTTTCTCACCTCATTGGGCTGGGCTGATTCCATGCCAGACTTGATTTGCAATTTTCAGATGTGGAAATTGGAGACATGCACAATTCGACATCGCAGATTGCTACAGATCAGTCGGGGGCAGCAGGACGAATCCCAATCGCTGGGTACACTAAGTTTGGAAGTGTGCCCCCCAAATCCACAAATCTTAAATTGAGATTGTAGATGTCTATATTTGGAGACCAAAACATATCCAAATCATTGCGCCTTGTAAAAAAACGCGCTATTTGCTCGTTCTGCGTTGAGAAATATAGCTCAGATGTTGCGACGCCCACTGATCTACCCTTTGAAAACATCTATAGCATGGCTGGTACAGCTGCTGGTGTGACACTCGGAGACGACTGGGCAACTTGATGGCAGATGTGCTTCCTTTCATTTCATAGCGATCCTCACTAGCTGTTTGGAAACCACCCCAGGCATGGGGTGAAAAGGCTCAAGACCTGCAATCTCCCGATGCTCTCAGGGTGTTCAAATGGTCGTGACAGCAGACTTACTATAGACTGATGTTAAGATCAAAATAATCCAAATGGCATCTACCATTCCTGAGTCGTGACCGTTTGTACCTCCAAACCTGAGTAGCTGGAAGCGACAATCGTGTCGAAAGACTTCTATATCTCCGTTGATTAAGAGCGAGCAATACTGCCAGTCACATCTTTTCACTTCAGTAGTTCAGTACTATCAGTACTATCAGTACTCACCTTTTTGATCCTTTTTGCACATCTGCGGACAAGGACCCCTGCCGTCCGCTGTAGACATGTCAACAGCCACAGCCGCCTCTTTGAGGCTTGGTGCCATTTGGTGTCAATTCAAATGGGTCCAGGATGGTCCAGGATGGTCCAGGATGGTCCAGGATGCTCCCGGGCAACAAAAGAATCTGGATGGTTGCCGTGAACATACCCGCTTCATGCATCCCGGACCTCATCCATGGATCAGGTCTTCAGAAAATGCTTACTTCCAAAGTGAAAAGACAATGTTGTTATATAAGTTATATGTTGGTGAATTTGGACATGGAAAGTCACACTTTGCCAGATAGCTATTGATCATGACACCATGAACGTGCAATCACAGAAGTGCCACTTGATCCAATACTGCCACACATTGTTCGGAAGATGAAAGAAATCATGTTCAACAAGGACATGAAATGGTGTGTGTTGTTCAAATCTAAAGCGTTGTGTGAAACGCATAGGAATCAACGAATCACACCACTCTGCTGGTTGTAACTTGATCCTCTGGAAATCAGATTGCTCTACTGGGGCGGCTGATTTATGACCGTCTTTCCCATCCAAGTCAATGATAGACCAAAAAAAAACACGTGGAAAATGCCAATAGCATCCAACCATCAAATTGTTTTTTTACCTCTATTCTGCAAGCCCTAACAGTCAGTAAGTGATTTCAAGGTTCGGGAGTTGAAGGGTCAATGTTCGATTGACATCCTGGGCCGCC